TACTGGAAAACCTGTCACGATTCGACCCCTGACCGATTCCAACAAAGCAAACACTGGTTCCAAGTAGATCTCGATGAGCTCTATCGAATGGGTACCTTTTGAGCTTAAATCGATGCACCCATCGCTGAGAAATCAGCCAATAGGCCACAGAACAGGGCTTTTCTCCCTTCTCAGCGATAGGTGCATCGATTTGAGCTCAAAAGGTGTCCATTCGATAGAGCTCATCGAGATCTACTTGGAACCAGCGTTAGTTTGTTTGGAATCGGTCACTGGTCGAATCGTGACAGGTTTTCCAGGGAAGGCCTTGTTCTGGGGTCTATTGGCTGATTTCTCAGCGATTGGTGAATCGATTTAAGCTCAAAAGGTATCCATTGGATAGAGCTCATCGAGATTTGCTTGGAACCAGTGTTGGATTTGTTGAAATCGGTTACTGGGCGAATCGCGGGAAGTTTTCCCAAAAAAAGCGTTGTTTCGGGCCTTGTGGGTCGATTTCTCAGCGATGGGTGCATCGATTTAAGCTCAAAAGGTGTCCATTGGATAGAGCGCATCGAGATCTACTTGGAACCAGTGTTTGTTTTGTTGGAATCGGTCTCTGAGCGAATCCCGAGTGGTTTTGGTGTCGTTGTGTTGTTTTTTCTTGTTTTTTTTGCGAAAAAAACGGGTTTTCACTAGTAAGGATTGTTTGTTTTCGGAAAAAACTAGTGAGTTGGATAGAGCTCATCGAGTTCTACTTGGAACCAGTGTGATCTCAGTTGGAATCGGACATGTCGCGAATCGCGAGATGAAATACTCGAATCCTGACCTAGGATATCCTACGTGCGAGAACCGCAGTATCTTTTGTTGAAAACTCCATCTCGAATACGAATAATCGGAAAACTAAACTCTCCGAAACATTTCTATTACTCGTTAAATGAATATTGTCTCGATCGAAAAACGATTTGGCACTTTGAGAGATTTTCTCGTCAATCATGCACAAGCATTGTCTTTCTTATCAACCTTAAACATATATTTAGATTATATGTATTCTCAGATTTATACTGAAAATAATTCGTATTTATTCAATACAACAAATTTTAATAATCAACATGAATTAATAACAAATAATAATTATTCATCATCAGATTGGCAAATATCAATACCATTTAATACTAATAATGAATCAATGCTTGCATCATGTTATACTAATAATCATGATATAAATTCATATAATTGTGAAAAGTTTTTTTTTTGTTCTTAAATTATTTTTAAAATATTATTATTATTATTCTTATATAAATTTTGTTTTTTAGCTTATTTCTATGCGTGTGCACGTTTTACTGTCCGCGGATTTACTGTCCATTGATTGAAAAAAAATTTATTCCAATTAACGTCATTTCTGCACGAGGATTTACTGTCCGTTGATTAATTCGAAGAAGATAAATGAATAAATGAGTAATCATTTCGTCAATCAATGTTTTTTCGAAATAAAAATTGCGTAATTGTTTCCAACGAAAAAAAAAATACTCATGAAGATGGGAACGATTCACTAATTTTCAATTGAAAATGAACAATGATCATTAAATTGGTGGCAAAACTAGTCATTTATATGAATAAAATTTGTGAAAATGTATATAAATCGAGAGATTAAGAATTTTCTCATCGTACTTTTTTAAAAATGTCTGCTACATTTATTGAATCTACACATGGTAAACGACAGTTATGTTACGTCGGCTATCGATATTCTTTAAAACGTAAGAATAAAAATAGTTCTGAGTACTGGGTATGTGTTAAATGTCAAGCAACAGCTACAAGTTATTCAGATTTATCAGTAACTGTACGTGATGGACATACACATTTACCTGACAAAACTGATAAAGAAATATTAGAAATAGGACAGAATCTTAAACGCAAAGCTATTGACGAATCTGTTCCAATTGATCGTATAGTCGAAGAAGCATTTCATGTAATTAATAATCAATTCCGATCCAATGATTTGCTTATAAATATACCATCAATTCATACAATTAAAAATACTGTACAAAAACAACGTCGGAAGACTCGTCCGCCGCTTCCTAGATCCATCGAACAACTGCCATTTTTATTATCCGATGTTTATTGCAAAACTACACAAGGTGAACGTTTTTTATTATACGTTGGACCGCTTGGTGGCGTTCGTTCACTGGTTTTTTCTGCTTATAATGATATGATTTATTTATCCCAACAGGAAAATTGGTACAGTGATGGTACCTTTTATACCTGTTCCTCTATTTTTTATCAAACATATTCTATTCATGCTTACTATGATGGCATATCAACGCCATGCATTTTCGCATTACTTAGTGGCAAATCTGAACAAACTTATACTGATTTATTTGCATTGATATTTAAAGAAATGTTCGAGTTCAATTTACCTGTTAGACTGGAAACCATTACACTTGATTTTGAACAGGCTGTTAAAAATGTATTTACAAAACATTATCCAACTGTTACTGTTCGTGGGTGTTTATTTCATTATGGACAAAGTTTATATCGTAAATTTGTCGATCTTGGTTTAAAAACGGCATACAAAAATGATGAAAATCTTCGTGATTGGTTCCGGTCTTTTGCAGCATGATCTTTATTACCATTAAATCATATGTTATGGGGTTTACAATATTTAATTCATACTCGACCTGCATATCCATGTATTCCAGTTTTTCTAAACTATTATCATAATACATACGGACCATTCAGTATATTTCTACTGCATATGTACAACCACTATCGTAATATATATTACCATGTACCATTAATTATTTAGAAGGTCGTCATTCACGATTGAAAAAACATGTAAATGCTCCACATCCAAATATTTATGTTGCAATTGATTTACTTCGAAAGGAACAATCATTAGCATCCATTGCAAGATTAAGAGATTATATGGGTGCTCCAATTCCAAAACGTCGAAAAAATAAAGTTACAACAGATGAATGTTCAATAAAATTATGACAACGTTATGATGAAGGTCGTCTTGATATTCCTTCCTTCTTAAAAGCTGCTGGATTTCGATACTTCCAACGTTTATCCAAAAGTTAAGTATTCATTTATCTTTCTTGGGTTATTTATTTATTCATTGTCTTTTTTTGTTATTTGTTCATATAATTCTTGGATTTTTTTTGTTGATAATACATTAATAATTTCACTGGCTATTCTGTTGTTGACTTGTCTGCTTCGAAATAATCAACGGACAGTAAATCCTCATCAAAGAAAAACACTAATTGGAATAAATTTCTTTTTCAATCAACGGACAGTAGATCCTCGACAGTAAAAATTTTCATTTTTCGAGAAAAAAAAGCAATTAAAATTGAAAAGTAATCAACGAACAGTAAATCCGCGGACACTAAATCCTGTATACCATTTCGGACTATCTTTGTAAATTTATCTAGTTTATTGTGATTTAATAGATAAAAGAAAGTGTCTTTTCTAATTCAAATCGACAGATCGCAAAAAAGAATTTATTCTCAATGAGTATTATTTTATTTGTTAGATATTGATGATGAAGGTCATTTAGGAGACATTGTTAATACCAATTTGTATAAATCGACCGAGTTAAGTACAGACAAGATGTGTGTATATATATCTACATATGTTTTCATTTTCTTTGATTGTATTGTATGTTTTACATGTTTCTCTTGAAAATGATGCTAAAAACATTGAAAATTCAGGTTTTTGTTGTTCATATTGTTCATTGTAAATTATTTATTTAAATATTTAATAAAATATGATTTTCTGTTATGAAATCTATTTTGTATAAAGGCAATTAACGGTCATCAACCTGACAAACAATTCATTTTTTTCTAATCTGGTTATGTAAGTCAATATGAAATTTATGTGCATCGATCAATTGACATTTTTGCTATTTAATCATCAATAAAAAGGAATAATTTTTTTAAAAGAATCCATATATAAGATATATATTTATATCGATATATATCAGTAGAAAATCCTATAAAATCTAATT